ACGGAATTAAAAAGTCCAAGACCAATAGCCCCTAAGATTATGGGTCCCACCTCGTCCAGCACCTTGCACATCACAGATGCTCAATAAAATATTATCAAATGATACCTCACCCATTTAGACAAGTCAAAGGAAGGGTCTATCTGAAGGGCAGCCGAGCGGAGCATTTCTAAGTGGCTGCAGTAACTCCTGAAATAATCGAGCCAGCACAGTGTATGTAACCCCATAAAACCATTCCCTTTCTCAAGGACAGCCAAGTTACTTGAGTGTGGACTCAAAGAGAATCAGCTTTAACCAAAACATAAAATTAACATTATCAGAGTAATCACCTTAGCAATATTAGCCTTCAATTATAAAAAATATAAATGGGTATTTCATACAGCTTGCATACTTTAGTCTTCAAAGGAGCTAAACGTTTTTCTTTTTATCTTCTTTCCTTCCTTTACCTATCTGCTTTTAAACAACAGAAGGAAGATGACATCCAATTAAGATTTTGTGTGGAATTATTAGTAACCAGTGATAATGAAATCACTGAACGTTTATTGTACTATAACATAGAATACAAAGTTGTCTGTCATATATCTATATACCCAACAGAATGTTGGCTGGATGAGGGCAGGAACCATATCTGGCACATAGTAGTCATTTGAAAAATATGTGTTGAATAAAAATAACACATGAAATCTAAATGTGTGGAATGAAAACTGCAGGGATCTTTAATGTAAAACTCTTGGAAATGCTTCAGGGCATCTATAAACTGCCTGAAATTATACACATTATTCTGTGTGAATGAGCGTATATGTATAGAAGTGAATTTTTCTGGAAAGTGAACCGATAGATTGCATGAGATTCTCTCCTACATTGATAACACTTAAAAAACAAAAACAAAAATGTTATGGACCCTTGCTATGCAGCTGCCACTAACCTAACCTGCATGTGCTGCCTTTCACCTTCGTGAACACAAAACCCCTACACTCTCTGTTAATTAACAGCTTCTCAAGTGTTTACTCTTAGACAAGTAGAACTCTTCCCTGACCTGTTCGGAACAGAAAGGAGTATAAAAGCAATCATCATAGACAACTGACATTTAACACACCTTTCAGAAAGCATGCCAAAGAGTGTCATGCCCGGCAGTTTAGAAACCATGCCAGGCTGGGGAAAACTGCCAGAAAACAGAAAGAAATCTCTTAATCTGGGGATAGAACAAAATAAGCGATACTTTCATAGTATTTTCATTTCTCTGTATTATTCTGAGACAGAAAAAAGCGACTCAATTGAAATATAAAAGTCTGACCTCAGTAAATACAGACACCAAAAATTCAAAGGAGACTCACAGAGATAGAATACACAGAATGGATGAAAAGATGAGACGTGAAGTAGAGAATTCCCCAAACATCCCTGATATACAACAGTAATAATAACAGCAACGATAATAATCAACACAATTTATAGCTAAACCCTTTACTAGAGTCAAAGCACTTTCCATATAAATGATGCATCAGGCTGGCACAATTATGGCCATTTTATAGATCAAGACATGGAGGTGCAGAGAAGTTCAAGTCTTGTTCAAGTCATGGTTATTGAATGGGGAGGCTGATGCACGTCCACACATCTCCCACTTCTAAATGCTGTGTTCTTCGTACAACATTTTATTTCACATCATAGGGTGACAGCCAGGCCTTTCTTATTCCTAATTTCTGAAATGTTCTGGCAATTATTCACTGAAATCCAGAAAAATCAAGGTGCCAAAGAAAGCCAGTTATTATCTCTACTGCCATGGAGTTAATGTGTTGGGAGATGGGGTTAAGTTGGTACATAGGAAACATCAAGGGAAGTAGCAAAATAAGAAACTTGGCATTGGGGTCCTTTGAAGCTATTTTAAAAAGTAAAATGTTATGTTAAGAGCTATGTGGTGTATCTCTGTGTGTGTGTAATTATTATTCCATTGATTTATTGCACACACGTCAAAGAACGTCTGGGCATTTGTACAAGTAAAAACAAACCAAGCCAGGAGCCAAGCCACATAGCCGCAAACCCAGACAAGTTGCCTCCCACCCTTCGAACCACCCTTCATGCTACCACCTCCCAAATGCACATTCTCTGGGAGCAAAAGCCTTTCTTGCAGAGACGAACTGTTAGGCCAGTGACATCTGTCATTTCTACTATATTCTAAGATTAGCCAAAGCCAGTTGATGGCACAGATTTTCCAGAGACACTAGCAGGGCTCTTCCTATTCTGGAGAGAGCCCTCTTCTGTTTTGGCAAGAGCTTTCAGGAATCACTCAAGAATCTACCTGGAAGGAGATATTACATGTAACCTCCTCCAAGGATGAGCACCATAACTTTCATGTGAACTCAAACTCAGGTCTTTCGCTGCAGGGCCCAAGGAAACATGGCATAGCTCCTCTACGGAATGCTTGTCCACTAACTCACTGCACATGAGGCAGGGAGACTTATTTCCCTCTGTTTCTCCAAGAAGCGGGAAAATCACTTTAATGTATTTTACCCTTCTGCCAAAAACCTTTTGCCTATGATCCAAAAATTAGAGCTAATTTCAACCTAAATCACTCCATCTAAGAGACGGACATCATTAGGCAACTTTCTCCATTTCTATTTACTAAGATGTTAAAAGAAGGAAAAAAAGCAAAAGAAAATTCCTCAGATGTTTCTAAGTGATAAAATCATTAAGCTCACACTTCCAACTTCAAAGAAGAAAACTAGAAAATCCTCTCACTTTCTCTGCACATGGAGAATAAATTGTTCTACTTCAAAGCACCATTTCTTTATTGGGTCATTTTAATTATTGAACGTGGGTCAGAAGCTATCCACATAACGTCATCACTGTCTTTTTCATGAAATATGTATAGGTCTAATTTGGACTACATTAACTTGAGACAGGTAAAACAGGAGAGAGAATAAGAGAAGGGAAAGGGACTAGGGAATACAGCACTCATCAGTGCATTGTAGTGAGAGGAAGGTGGTCAGCCTTTCTGAGCTGACTTTTCTCATTCTTTCCTTCTAGAGAGGAATCGCCAAGAAGCCTGACTGCCTCACTTCTCAAATTTCCTTCTACCCGATACACAGAAACACAATTACGCTAACTCTATTAGTAACGCTGGTATTATTGCCAACTTAAGACAACTGTGGGTACAATCAATTGCTTTGTGAATAACCACTGTGAAGAAAAACTCATGCTCTAGAATGGAGGTCGGCAAACTATCTGGCCCTCTTCAGAGTAATAAGACAGCTAGAGAGAGAACAAGCCAGGCATTCCAATTCCCACTCAACCCTCTTCCCACAAGATCCCAAAGCCATGGGTTGGCCAGCTTTTTCTGTAAAGGGCCAAGGAGTAAATATTTTCAGCTTTGCAGGCCTTACGGTCGCTGCTGGTGCTAAACTCTGCTGCTGTAGCTCAAAAGCAGCCAAAGACAACACACAGATGAAAAAGGGTGTCTGTTTTAATAAAACTTTATTTACAAAAACAGGCGGAGGGAAGGATTTTTCCTGCAAGCCACAGTTTTTGACTCCTATCCTAGACAATTGCTAGATGGGAGAAATGTTCTATAGCTGTGCTGTCCCATATACTAGTGACTAGCCGCACTTGAAATGTGGCTAGTGTAACTAAGAAACAACTTTTTAAATTTTACTGAATTTTAATTAATTTAAATTTGAATAGCCACATGTGATGGTGGCTACAGTATTGGCACAGATTCTAGATACTATTCACGGCTGCCTCCTCAAAGGAGATACAAGCCACCTTCCAATCATGGCATAGTTTAAATTTTTGCCTTAAAAAATAAAATAGCCATGCTTTCAAAATGGAACTATACACAACTAAAAATATTTCCTAAATGTGAAAAATCCACATCATTGAGGCCAAAACAATCTTTTTGGTTTGACACAATCACATAACTGCCTATTAGCCAATGTCAAACGCGTAGGGGCAAGGTCAGGTCCATGCCAAGACCTATCCAATCTGGAACCTGCTTTCTTTCTCCTCCAGACACTGTCCTGCGCCTTAACTGAGAGCACAGACCTACTCAACAGCCCTATTAACTCCTAAGGAAAATCCAAACCTCCCCAGAGACTCAAAAATATATACATGCAAAGACATGGCTCAAAGAGCACAAGAGAGGACATGCAACTCGATTAGATAGCCTTCTCTTAAAGGGGTATACATCATATACTGCCTCAACACAAAAATCAGGGAGATTCACCGCATTCTTTGCTATTGCCCACATGTAATAATTTATTTTCTGGCAACTGTTTTATTTACATAATAACCAGCTTGTGTTTTGCATTTCTTAGCAGACCCAAAGTTATAATCCAATGAGGGGAACCAAGGAAATAGGATAGTAACATATATTTATTTTTCTTCTAAGTATGAATAAGAAATAACAAACCAACATTTTCTTTAAGAAACTCGCACAATACCAACTTTCTTCAATGGTAAAAGAATCTTGAAAATTGAGGATATATGCCTTAGAAAGTAAGAAACTCTTGAAACCTCAGGTGCCAGGAGGGGGTCTATACAGACACACAGCAAAGTAAGGTAGATGACATTTGACTTTTCTATGATTTTTGATAAAATGAAACCATTCCAGATCTAATCATTTATCTGTGATTCCCAAATCCCAAAAACTCTGAAAAATGAAAAAGAATTCCAAGGGTGAAGCAAACTCCTTTGTTGATACAACCTGACATGGACTGACAGGTGGCTACTTAGATGGTCTTTATTTATCTTAATTTAATGTGAAAAATTTTTTTCCTGCAGAAATATCCATGTGTTTGCTTATGAGGTGTTGCTGCAACCTCACCGGAAGTGTTATACAATCTATGATACATGCAATGGGTCTTACCTTTCCAAAATCCCCAAAATATCTGACCCAAGATACATCTGGCCCCAAAAGTCTGGATAACGGATCTTCTAAAGAGAGCTGTTCAGGTAGGACATTTTCTACGAACTCAACGTCTGCTGCCCGGAATTCTGAAACAGTGCCTTACCTCAGTCTGAAGGATGGCAGCTCTCTGTTCTTTGGCAGTAAGCGACTCTTTAAGCACTTCAATGTGTTGCTTGCAATCTGAATTTTGATTGCTAAGGGTTTCAAGCTTTGTTTGTAAGGCAAGAAGTTCTGACTCCTTCTTTGAAAGTTCCTGCTTCAGCTGATCAATCTGTGAAACAACAACAAAATTGCAAGAAATTAGAAGCCGCAGCTCTTACTATTTACATTTGGGAACTGCTAATTTCTCTTAATTTTCAATAGCCAATGATCATTAATCCAACAAGGCAGGCCACGAGTTTGCTTAAAAAGATGGCTGGCCAAACCTACTACTCACCCTTGAAACCACAAAATCTATTCACCATGGTCCTCAGAAGGGTCAACAGGGAGCTAATAAAGGTAACTAACCCAAGACATAACCTGGACCCTTTCTGCCACTCTACAGTGGAAATGATCATTCAAGGGCATCATTTGACAAAAGAGAATCCTCAAAAAAAAAAAAAAAGCAGCATTAGGGGTTTTTATTTTTTTACTTACATTAAATATTAAGATGACACAAAGGAACATAAAATACATAAAAAGTATAAGGAAAAATCATACAAGAAACATCCATCATTCAATTCACCAAAAAACATCATTAGAATCATCCTGTTCTAACCCAGTTCAACCCATTTCTATCTCCTTCTCTTCCCCTTTGGAAATAATTATCACCCTGAATTTTGTGTTTGTCATTTCCTTGCTTCTCTTTTAAGTTTACCAAATTTTTTTTTTGCATCTGTAAAAGAAGTACACCATTTAGTTTTGCACAGTTTTTAACTTTGTGCTCTATATATTCTTTTTCTCTTTCATGTTAGCCCTGAGCTAACATCTGTTGCCAATATTCCTCTTTTTGCTTGAGGAAGATTGTTGCTGAACTAACATCTGTGCCAATCTTCCTCTATTTTATGTAGGATGCCACCACAGCATGGCTTGACAAGAGGTGCTACGTCCACACCTGGGATCCAAACCTGCAAACCCCGGGCCACCAAAGTAGAGCACACAAACTTAACCACTAAGCCACAGGGCTGGCCCCTGTGCTATGTAATCTTTTTTAGCATTTTGGTTTTTTCTACTCAATCTTACATCCTGCAGATTAAATTATGTTATTGTACATGCAATTCATTCATTTTCAACGAAGTACAGGATTCCATTGTAAGACTTCACCACAATTTATTTGTCCATTCTGCTGTTTACAGACATTTGGGTTTGTTTCCAGGTTTTTTGCTATGACAAAAAGTGCTGTTTTGAACATCTTACACATATCACCTGGTACACACAGCAAAAATAATATAGGAGTTAAATTGCTGGACCACATAGTACGCACATCTTCAACTTTACTAGATAACACCAAAATGTTTTCCAAAGCAGTTATATTAATTTTCACAGTCACAAGCTGTATATAATGTGCCAATTACTCCACATCTTTGCCAATATCTTATGTCATCAGGCTTTTACATTTTTGCCAGGCTGATAGGAGTTGTGGTAGATGATCTCCAAAGACGACTCTTACCAGTTTCTTCCTACCTGTACACACATGCCACTCCCACAACTAGGGGTGGAGTCTCTCTACCCTCCTCTCCAACCTGGGCTGGACTATGACTTGCTTCAACCAGCTAAACGCAGCAAAAGCGTCAGGACGCCTGTTCCCACCCTAGCCTGTAGGACTGGCGGCTGCAGCTTCCTCCCCCTGGAAGCCGGCCACCACATTAGAAGTCCAACCACCCTGTGACCACCATGCTGTGAAGAAGTCCAGACCAGCCACAGGCCATGCAGAAAGACAGGGGGGCCTGGTGGAAATTGTGGCTTCTTTGTCCTGTTCTGGTCCTAAAGGGAAGAATGTCAATGTTTCATCGTTAAGTTTGATGTTTGCTTTAGCTTTTTATAGGCACTCTTAAGTTTCAGAAAGTTCCCTTTTATTACAACTTGCCAAGAGGTTTTTTCTTTAATCATTAAGGAATGTTTAATATTACCAAACAATTCTTCTGCATCTCATGATATATCACACTTTTCACCTTTAATATATTATTGTAATGAATTACATTAATGGATTTTTAAAATATTAATCTCTGCTTGCATTACTATGAAAAACTCCACTAAGTCATGATGTATTATATTTTTTATATTTTAGTGGATTCAGCTTGCTAATATTTTATCAGGATCTTTCATCTATGTTTACAGGGAAAATTGGTTTGTAATTTTCCTATCTTACGCTGTCCTTGTCAGGTCTTAGCAACAATTTAGCCTTCCAAATAGATTAGGGAGTGTTTCTTCTTTTAATGTGTTCTGAAATGGTCTGTGTAAAATTGAAAACTTTTTTCCATTAATGTTCATTAGAAATCAACAGCAAAACAATCTAGAGCTGATACTTTCTTTTTCCGAAGACCATTACTTACTTCATCCATCTTTAATGGTTCTAAGAATATTCGTGTTTCTAACTATTTGAGTCAATTTTGAGAAGCTTTTTATCCCCTAAGAATTTTTCATTTCATCTAAATTTTCACCTTTATCAGCATGAAATTTTCATAAGACCCATTTATCTTTTGATATCTATAGCATCTATGATTATGCCTTCTTTTTTATTCCCAATATTCTTTATTTTTACTCTCTTTTTCTTGAGGAATCTCAGCAGAGGCAACATCATGTTAAATAATCTCTTCAAAGAGCCAATTTGTCTGTGTTTATCATCTAATGTTTTTATTTTCTATTTCATTAATTTCTGCTCTTATTTTGAAATTGTTTCCTTCCTACTACTTTCTTTGGATTTATTCTGTTTTCTTTTCCGAACTTTTTAAGTTGACATTTATCTTACTAATTTTCAGCCTTTTTTCTTTCCACATATAAGCCTTAAGACTATAAATTTCCCTTCAGTATCATTTTAGCTTGATCACACTAGTTTGATACGTAGTCTTGACATATTGTTCAGTCCTACATATTTTCTAATCTCCATTATTATCTGTTCTTTGACTCATGAATAACTTAGAAGTACGTTTCTTAATCTCCAAATACGTGGATGTTTCCTAGTTTTCTTTGTGTTTTTATTTCTCACTTGCTTTGTGAATAGAGAACATGGTCTGCTTGGTACTGGTCACTTGTAATTTGGTGTATCCTGCTTTACGACACAGAATGTGGTCAGTTATCACAAATGTACTTTGTATACTGTGTGCTTGAAAAAAATACGTATCCAACAATTTTGGGGCGCAATATTCTAAAAATCTGCATTCAAAAACTTTTAATTGGGTAATTTAAGTCTTCTATATTTCGATCTTTTAATTTGCCTCCTCTGTTGATTACTTAAGGGTGAGTTAAAACTATCCACTATAATGGTGAAATAATTTCTCCTTGTAGTTCAGCCAATTTTTTAGCTCTAAAATGTTTCTTTGCCTTAAAGTCTGCAACAGCCTTCTTATGGTTAGCATTTGGCTAGTGTGTCTTTTTTCACTTTCAATGTGTCTTTAATCTTATGTTGTAGATGTCTCTTGTATATAGCATATACCCACATTCTTTTACCCTGTCTGATAAAATTAAATGAAGCATTTATTATCATTACAGATATGTGATTTTATTTCAACCATCTTACTTTGTGCGTGCTAATATATACTACCATTTCTATTTCTTCTCTTTTCTTTCTTGCTTTGTTTTGAATAACTTTTTTCTCATTTTTTTTGCCTCTACTCATTTAAAAGTTATACTTTTATATATTTATTTTACATATTTATTTATTTCTAACATTACCCTAGAAATTATAACATGCTTACACTTTTGACTTATCTAAGCCTAAAGTCAATCTATATGTCTATCTTCTTTCAGAATAATATAAGGATCTTAAGACACTTTAAGTCCAATTACCACTCTCCTGACATACACATTATTATCGTCACGTATTTTAGTTCTTTCCTGTTTTATTTTTAACTCATAACTATTTTTTTACAGTCCATGTTTGTTTATATTTACCCCTACATTTGTCACTATTTTTATTATTCATTTTTGCATCTCAGATATTCCGTTAGGAGTCTCCTTTTGCCTGAAATGCATAATTTACAATTTCCTGGGGCTGGCCCCGTGGCCGAGTGGTTAAGTTCGCGTGCTCCGCGGCAGGCGGCCCAGTGTTTCGTTGGTTCGAATCCTGGGCGCGGACATGGCACTGCTCATCAAACCACGCTGAGGCAGTGTCCCACATGCCACAACTAGAAGGACCCACAATGAAGAACATACAACTGTGTACCAGGGGGCTTTGGGGAGAAAAAGGAAAAAAATAAAATCTTTAAAATTTCCTTTAGTGAGGTTTCATTGATGGCAAACCCAATTTTTGTCTAAAACTATCTCAACTTCATTCTTTTTTCTCCAACATTGTTGCTGAGGATTAAAAGTAATTTTCTAGGTTAAATGATGTTTTCTCTCAACACACTGAGGATATTATTCCACTATCTTCTGGCTAATAAAAGCTATTAAGAAGTCAAGCTATCACTCCAAATTCATTCCTTTAAAGGTAATGGGACTCTTTTCCATTAGCTGCCCTTTTTTAACAGCTTTATTGAAATATAATTTACATGCCACACAATTAACCTGCTTAAAGTGTATAGTTGATGGTTTTTAGTATATTCACAGAATTGTGCAACCATTATCATAATCAAATTTTAGAACATTTTCATCATCTCAAAATGAAACCTTGTAACCATTAGAAGTCACACTCCATTCTCCACCCTCTACATCCAGTCCTAGGCAACCAATAATCTACTTTCTGTCTATATGGATTGGCCTATTCTGGCAATTTCACATAAATAGAATCTTACAGCATATGTACTTTGTGACTGGCTTCCTTCACACAGCACAATGTTTCAAGGTTCATCCATGTTGTAGTATGTTATTAGTACTTCATTTTTTATTGGTGAATAATATACCACTGTATGAATATGCCACATTTTGTCTATCTATTCACCAACTGATGGACACGTAGGTTGTTTCCATGTTTTGGCTATTACAAATAATGCTGCTAAGAATATTCATGTGCAAGTCTGCATGGACATATGTTTTCATTTCTCTTCAGTATACATTCTCTGTCCCTACCACATCTCTCTTTTCCTCTGGAACTCTGATGAAATTTATGCTAGACCTCCTTATTCTATCTTCTTTGTA